GTCCAGCCCACTTGGGGACCTCTGAGCCCCTCTGTCCCCCAACCCCTCCCGGGGTATAGAGCTGGCTGTGGGGAGGGGCTGGTGGGCTCACCGGGTGCATGCGGAGCCCCTGGGGATGGCTTCAGAGCAGGTGCCTGAAGGAGAGAGGGCCTGGTTCCTGGAGGTGGATGGCACAGGGGGCTGGCACAGGGCTCTGCGATGGGGGAGGGGGGACCCCTGAGGAAACTGGGCTCAGGGAGAAGAGGAGGGTCCAGAAAAGAGACAGAATTCTGTTAGGAACAGGGGCCAGCAGCTACGTGAAGCGGTGCGGTGCCCAGAGAGGGGCTTGGGTCTTCGGGGGTGGGGCGGTGCTCAGGGAGAGGACTGGGGGCTCCGGGAGGGGGTGGGGGATCCAGGAGGGGCTAGGGCTCTTGCAAAGGGGAGCATGAGCTCTGCTGGCAATGCTGGGGAGTGGGGGCGGCTCCCTGCCGTGAGAGGAGAGAGCCTCCACAGGGAGATGGGGCTCAGAGAAGAGGCGGGGGACTCTGGAGGAGAGGATTCTGGACAGGGACTCAGTTGAGGGGCCTGGGACTTGTGAGGAGAATGGGGGGGATCTTCAGGGAACAGACACTTAGAAGAGAAAAACATGGGTTCAGTGAGGGGACCAAGGGCTAAATCGAAGGGACAGAGGCTCCAGGAGGGGTAGGGCTGTGTAAGAGGATCGGGGCTTCGCGGAAATGTTAGTTTAGGAAGGGCAGGGGGGCTGGGAGAGGACCATGGAGGAGCCCTCGAAGGAGGGTTGTTTTGAGAATGGAGTGCAGCTATTTCCTCCCAACCCATCACCTCGGTGCCTTATTTTGTCCTGGCTCAACACAGCCACAGTTTGCCTCCTTGGCCCACACAGGTCCCGTCCCCTGAAGACCCCTCATCTTGGTCCTCTGCTTCTCCACGCCCACTGGAACATTCCACCCAGCTGAGCCTTGAGTCCTTCTCCGCTAACTATTCCATAAATGCCCCAGTGGGCACCCATTCCCTTGAATTCACCCATGTGGATTTCGTATCCTGCTGCAGCCCAAACACATTCTCAGTAGGTACTTCAGACACCAGTAATGATCAGTAAGGTCATTCTCCCTCCAAGCTAACCTCAATCCCTTCAACTGCAAATGCGGCCAATTTCCTCTGTTCTGTCCTGGGAATAGAACATGGCTGATCTGCAGGCCACCTTTTATCAGGGCATCTGTCATAGCTTCAGAGATGTAACGTCTCCTCTCAAATTTCTCTCTTCTAGGTAAATTAATCCTGGTCCCTCCATTGGTTTTTCTGATTACTATATTTATGAGTAGGCATCTCCTAATGATTGTGGCAGGGCTTTAGCACAGCCTGGCACACTGAAGGCTCACAAGAAGTGTATCTTGGATGGATGAATGCATTGGCGGATGGATGAATGCATTGGCGGATTGATGGGTGAATGACAGCAGGGAGATGGGTAGCGAAGAGATGAAAAGACAGGTGTTGGTAAAGGTGGTGGATGACAGGTAGATAGATGGAGGGTGGAGGTGGGTGACCTGTGGGCAGATGAATGTTTAAATGGAGATGGGTGGGCAGGAGGAGGATGGATGGATGGATGGATAGATGGATGGGTGGATGGATGGACAGTTGAGTGGGTGGATGGATGGATGTATGGATGAATGGATGAATGAATGGATGGATGGATGGATGGATGGACAGGTGAGTGGATGGATGGATGGATGGATGGATGGATGGATAAATGGAAGGAAGAATGGCTTAGGATGCTGGACGGATGAATAATCTCAGTTGGCATCTCAACTTTCCCCCAAATCTCCCAAGTATAGAATCCTCAATTTGATTAATGGCACCCCAGTTGTCTCAGCTACCCAGGCCTGAGACCTGTCCATATATCACTTCTCCTTCATCTCCCACAACCAAGCAGCTCTGAGACCTGATGATCTTATTTCCTTGATGACTTTTCCTTTTGGCCCCAGTCCTTCATGACCTCACTCAAGCCCCCAGCTCGTCTCCAGGATGACTTCAGCTGTCTTTCTGTTTCCTTAAAGCTGACCCTGAAACAATGCCATCGACTTGACATGGCGTTCCTACCTCTTAACTCCAGTCAACAACCTTCGATGGCTCCTACTGCCTGGAGCTCCATGCTTCCTAATCCAGCTGAACCTCCCATTCATAGCCTCTCTCATTCCTCTCCCTTATGGACCCTCTACTATGCAGCCTGGCTGTGGCCCCAACATTCATCAAGCTTCCCCTCCTTTGCTCATGCTGTTCCTACACTTGGACTGCCCTCCCTGCCACCTCCACCTGTGGCAACACCATCCTAGACTTCAACACACAGCTCAAGTGCTGCCTTCCCAATGAAACCTTCCCTAATCCCTTCAACTGGATGTAATCAAATAAGCCACTTCATCAAGACACATTTATTGAGCACCTACGATGTGCTCAACTGGCTGAAGGGCCCTAATGATGGCAGGGGGAGGATACAGGATGAGAAAGATACAATCTTTGCCCTCAAAGGCAGAGCCTACTTTTGAGCACACGCATGTGCACACAAGCACATACAGAATTCAATGGTGGAAAATAAAGGCAAAATCACATAACATTAATAGTTAATGCATATACAGCACTCACTGCGGCCAGGTACTGTTCTTTTTTTTTTTTTTTTTTAATGGAATCTTTTTTGAATGTTTATTTATTTTTGAGAGAGAGAGACAGTGTGAGTGGGGAAGGGGCAGAGGGAGACACAGAACCTGAAGGAGGCTCCAGGCTTGGAGCTGCCTGCACAGAGCCCAACGTGGGGAATTGAACTCACAAACCATGAAATCATGACCTGAGCTGATGTCGGACAGTTCACCAACTGCGCCACCCAGGTGCTCCAGGCCAGGTGCTGTTCTAAGGGCTTTACTTTCAGTAACTCATTCAGTCCTCTCAATGAACCTGCAAGGTAGGTACAGAGGAGGAAACTGAGGCCGAAGGTGGGGCAATTTCTCGAAGGTCAGCCAGCTAGTAAGAAACAGAGCAGGGATGGAACCTAGCAGTCCTGCTCCTGGATCTGTGTCCTCAACAGCGCACAGCAGTGTGGTGGAAACAGGGCCGTGGCTGGAGCGAGAAATCCGTGACAGGGTGCACTCTGACCTCCCAGGCCTCCTGCCCTGCCGGAAGCCCCTCCTTTGCTGACCTAGTCCTGGGCCCTGCCAGCCCAGGCGAGAGGCTCCCTTGGGAAAGGAAAACGGATGCAACGAGGGACCAAGGACCCAGTCTGCCACTGTGACACTGTAGAACCCTGGGCAAGTCCCCTTTTCCCCTGGGCCTCAGTTCTCCGTCTATTGGATGGGGTTGGGCCCATCCACCCCTAAAGGCCCTTTCAGCTCTAAAACGTGTAATCCTAAACACGGCTGCTTGGCTGATAGAAGACAGAAGCCCCGGGAGCCTCTTGGCTTCAGGGCCTGGCTGCATCTCCTAGGAGATCCCCGTTGTCCCTGAATACATCGCCGCAGCCCCGGTTCCTCGGGCCTCATGGGAGGCTGCAGTCCTATGTGTGGTCACCTGAATCTGTCCGGCTCGTCACTGCCCATCATCCTGTCTGCCCACTGACCTGGATCTATCTGCCTTGGCTACCCATCCATCAGCCTGCCTGGGCCCATCCACCTTGTGTTCCCCGCCTGCCTGGTGTCTGTCACTCTGTCCATCACACACACACACACACACACACGCAGTCCACCTCCCCACCCGCCGGTCCCCTACTCTGCAAGCAGCGCAGTGACAATGAGAGATAGGGTGGGGCTTCTCGTTTTTCGCTCACAGAGAAGTCCGGTCTTAACATCAGAACCCACTTTCCAGGAGCCAAAGCAGTTCTCTCTGCCATCCAGCATCCTCTCCTTTCCCCGGGGACCCCCAACCCCCTCCTTGCTGGGCCCAAGGGCTTCTACTTGAAGAAACTGGTCAGGGTCACATGGCTTCTGCCAAAAATGTCCAAGTGGTCCCCAAGGAAATCACAGGACAAGAACGTGAAGATGTGTGTACAAGGATGTTCATCGCGGAATTGTTTGTAATCGCGAAGTGTTGGAAACAACCCAAATGTCCAACAGTGGGGGCTGGTTAAATGAATTATGGGCCAGCCACACAATGGAGAACCATGCAGCTCTTAAAAAATGATGATGTAGATGTATATTTATCGAAATGGCAAGACGTTCACAATATATTATAGAGTGAAAAAAGCAGGTTACAAAGGCATATGTATAAAGCAAGATGCCATTTTTATTTTTTAAAAATCTATATATGTCAAGAAGGATATGCACTGAAATGTTAGCCAAGTGGTGGTGGGATTATGGCTAATTAAAAATGCTTGCATATATAAAAAGACACACACACACACACACACACACACACACATGCATATGTAGTCACTCTGTATTGAAAACCACCAGCCCCACATTTGTCTATATCACCTTTGGCATAGCCTTTGTCTGTATCACCTCTCATATGCTCTTTCCTACAGCCTTGTCGGGTAGGTTTATTAAAACCATTTTACAGAGGAAGAAACGGAGGCTCACTCAGCGAGTAAATGGCAGAGTCAGGCCATAAACTTGGCTTTCTCTGACTCCAGAGCCCATGCTCTACCTACTCAGCAGGTAGTTGTGTTTTCTTATTTTGTTTACCTGTAACTTGCCTGTTTAAACAAAGATAACATCTATTTACTTGGGTGGTAAAGAAATGGCAGAAGTTAACAAGACAAGGAAAAGACTACATACAGAGGGATGTCCTCAACCTCTGGGGTCTCTGGCAGCTTTTCGGCGGGCTTTCTCCCTCGACCCTTGACCTGTTTGTTCCTCCCTCCTCCACAAGTGCCTGTATATGAGGCAGGTGCAGCCTGCTGGGGAGGGAGCGGGCAGCCGTGGGTAGGACTGGGCTTAGGTATTGCAATGCTGTGTGGCCTGAGGCCCCCTCCCCGAGGCCACATTGAACTCCATGAGGGCAGGGAGGGCTTGTCTTACACCATATGCTGCGCTGGATGCCAGGGAGACCAAAATGGAAAAGCCCAATGCCCCCTTTCAGGATCTTTTCATCCAGGGCCAGGTTTCTCAGCCTCCACTCTATCAGCATTTTGGGCTGCATAATTCTTTCTTTGGGGCGGGGGGGGGGGGGGGGGGGGCTGTCCTGTGCATTGTAGGATGTTTAGCAGCACCCCTGGCCTGTACCCACGGGATGCCAGTGGTAGTTTCCTATCCAGTGGTGACAAACAAATATCTCTAGACATTGCCAAACATCCCCGAAAGGCAAAATTACCCCTGGTTGAGAACCACAGATCTAGTGGATAATACAAAGAAGGCAATAAAAGAAAATCTGAACTGGTTGCTATTGGGCTCAGTATGAGTGGGAGTCTCTTGCGCCCGGATGGGTCAGAGGAGGCTTCCTGCGATGCCCCTGCACCTTGAAATGTGAGGGTCCCTTCTTTTCATTCTACAGACTTATCCTGGGTGATCTCATCCATTCTGTGGGTCCAAAGATCTACTTCAGGATGGGCTCAATCTTTTCTGCACAAGTGCCTACTGGGCGTCCCCACTGAATGTCCCACCAGCATGGCCTCCACCTCTCCTTGAGAGCCCCTTCTCCCAGGACCCCACACAGCCTCCCCAATCAGAAACAGGGGCTCCCCTGCTCCCCCCACATCCTGGAAGCTTCCCACCCCTGTCCAATTCTACCCTGCCGGCCCCCAGCCTCCAGCAGTGCTGGACCCCGTCTTCCCCACAAACTGTTCTCCACCCAGCAGCAGGGCCAGCCTTCCGAAGGCACACCCCCCACCATGCCACTCCCCTGCTGAAAACCCTTCAGCGCCCCCATGGCTCCCAGGTGAAGTCCAGTCTCTCCTTGTGGCTTCTGAGACCCACAGGACCTGACTACTGTCCGCCTGGCTGGCCTCATTTCCTGTAGCTCCCACGCCCGCACCCCAAATTCTATATGTTCCTCTTCAGGCAACTAAACTTGCCATTCTCCCCCAATCCCCACTCACCTCCGGGCCTTTGTACCCCTTGCCTCTTGGCCTGGAGCTTGCTTTGCCTGCCCCCATCCTCTGTTCCCTCCTTCATCCCCTGGATAGCTGCTAACCAACCTGCAGGTCTCTGCTTAACCACTTCTTCCTGGAAGCATCTGCCGCCCCGCCCCCTGCACACAATTGGCTCTTATCATGGCTTGTGAGAATTGCTTAATCGTCAGTCTCCTTTCTGGGACCACCAGACCCCCATTAGCTGGGATCCTGTCTATTTGCTCACGGGCGTACCTCGAGCGTGTAGTGCAACGCTTAGCACACAGTAAACACCTAACATGTGTGCGTAAATATATACTTTTAACTGCATAATGCATGGGTGGACAGTCAGACGGCAAGACGGGTAGGAGGATGAAGAGGTCGTTTGAGTTGGGTTTTTAGTGCTTTGAAAGATCTTCACGGGGAAGGGCGTTCAGGTAGAAGGGCAGGTGTGGCTGAATGCAGGAGTGTCGGGTTGGAGGCACAGTAGGAGATAAAGGAGGGTGCAGACAGATTACAAGGACCTTGAATGTCACGGTGCAGAGTCTGGACTTAATTCAGTAGGCGATGGGGAGCCATGGAAGGGTTTTAATCAAACAAGTGACACGAACCCACCTGCGTTAGAGAAAGATCGCTCTGGCTGCAGCCGGAATTGCAGATCAGAGGCTGGGAGGCCAGGGAGGAGGCTGCTGCAAAAGTTCAGGCAGAGCCAGTGAGGTCTGGGTCAGAGCAGGGATCGCGGGATGCACGGAAGGGGAGGAAGGGCAGAGACCAGAGTGCAGTGAAGCTACGGGCACGTGGCGCATGTTCTGATGCCCCGGCCGCACGCAGGGACCGGGCAGTCCCTTGAAGGATCCTGAGGTCAGAGGCAGATCCTGGCGATTCTGACAGAATTCCACTCTCCTCCAGGGGTGACAACGCCTGCAGGGGCGCAGGCAGGCAAAGTTACTCGCCGAGGAACAACCGTTCGGCCCCGAGGGGACCAAGACCACAAGTGGGGGGACCTAGTAACAATACTGCCTCGTTTATGGAGGATCCGGTGTGCCAGGCCCTGCCCGAGGTCCGTACACACGCATATTTCCTCTTCGTAACAACCCACGAGGCAGGCATGACTGTTTTTCTCCATCTCACAGGGAAGGAAACAGGCTCCGAGAGGCAAAGTAATTTGCCCAAAGTCGCACAGCCAGAAAGTCACAAATCCAGGCTGGTCTGCCTCCCGTGGCCATGCTCTTAACCCGTTACTTTATCTTGCACAATGGAGGGAGCTGGTAGCCAGTGGATGACTGGAGGCTGGTGGGTCTGATGAGGAAGCAAGAAGTTCCCAGCCTACTTGAACGTGATAGCATGAAGCGACCTGCTGATGAGGCATGTGTTCAGACCCGGACTCACGTATTCAGAAAGGTGTGTCCCCATCGTGAGAGGACTGGGCTAAGGAGCGAGTTGCGCTTAACCTCCCGTTGGGCCGCCTTAGTGAGAATTAAAGAAAGGCATCTTCCTCTGGGGGCATGTAGCCTTACAGGCCCATGGCTGGTTAGGATAGGAAGGCTTTCTTGCAAATTAGGGAAAGATGTCCCTTTCTCCAGGAGGACATAGTCTGCCTTTAAGGCACCTGATTTGTTGAGTGGAGCTTACAATGGATTTCCACCCCTATTCTCCTCCTGCATTGAGTGCCCTGGGACAGTCAACAACCTGCCCAACCGTACACGACAGCTACGCCTCCAACCACTCTGTCCTGTATCCATGTTCCAGCAGCCACTCTGTATCATCCTCAATGAGAAACACTCCCTCCGGCAGATACATAGAGCTTGTCAGTCCTTGCCTCTTCCGTGGGAGAAAAGACAAAGTCTGAATATACCCACTGCCCTGATGAAAAAGTTGAGGTCAGAGACTGTCCTCATGGTGAAAAAAACCAACCAACCAACCAACCAACCAACCAACCCACAACACAAGGCTTTCTTTACAGAGGCTTGTATCAAAACACAAGATTCCAGGAAGCAAAGCCTCTGCTCAAGAGCTCCATCTTAAGGGCACTGTGAGGTGTCCGGGGAGGTAGAGGATATGCCCACCCTCACTGGGAACATGAGGCTTCTCTTCCTGAGCCTGGCCTGAGGCCTGGGTCTTCTCTCAGCCTGGCAGGAGTACATTCTGTCTTGTCCCTGATCCCTAGCGCCCTCTTTGGGTGAACTCTGGGGCAGGATGGGGAAGCCCCCAGTCCAAGCAAGCCACCTCCTTAGGGTCTCCTCTTTCCCAAGAGCCACCTGCCTCTATCCTCAGCTCCCACCCCTTCCCAGGCCCCGCTGAGAGCCGGCTGCGGCCCGAGTTATATAAACAGAAATCATTCTCTCTCTCTCTTTGAATACCTGAGGCTGCATTTCCGAATGGAGCTTCCTAATGGAAGAAAAAAGAGGGGAAAAAAAAAGAAGAGAGAGAGGGCAGGGAATTTAATTGGCTGACTCCTATCACCCATGTGGTAGTTTGGTTGCTCCAAACTTTGCTAACCGGGTGAGACAGGCCCTCCTGGGGTCTCTGCCCA